CTAACGAGGTGAAGGTGGCCTAGTTGGGGAAGTAGAACCGATGTTTACGTAAAAGTAACATGATTTCAAAAGATGACGCTACCTGTCAAAAAAACCGGTCAACAAAATAAAGGTTTGCTAAGCAAAATGGCGGCTATCTTGACGTGCAGACATAGCTACGAAGTTGGCTAACCTAACAACAGATGTCAAAATCAATCTAACCTATGGCATCTGTCACCAGTGTTGCCAACCTAACCTACGCAGGCCATAGCTACGAAGTTGGCTAACCTAATGACAGATGTCAAAAATCAATCTAACTTACATGGACACAACGATCTAACATATAGGTATTGAGCGTTGCTAACCTAACCTGAGCTAATATCTAACGCCATTTTTTATGCTGAGTTCTAACAACAGCTTTGCCAACCTAACTTGCAATTTGCTACCTCAGGATGGGAGGAGTGGGAAGACGTCACCTGTCAATGGGTCCGGCTTGCGACGCGGCTAAGCGATCCAAGATGGCATCTTCCAAAAAGGCACCCATGTTACCCGTATTACCAGTCATATGCCATATCTTTATTGAATAGAATTAAACAGAAAAAATAAGGGGAGTGGGGGGACAACGTCGAATAAAATCAAACAGAACAAAATGGGGGAAATTAATATTCGTTGAAAAGTCCTACGACGTGGCCGTAAGCCAACCAACCTAACGCCAGGCTACATGAAGAACTGGAGTATGACCTAAGAGAGAAACAAAGGCTTAGGCCTAACGCCTGAAGAACTGGAGGCTGGGGTGGATGAGACTTAAGTGTCATACACGAAAAGCCATGATGCCTGAAGATATGAAGAGCTGAAGCTGAGGAGGAGGCTGAAATGGAATAACATGGGGGACTGAAGGAGTTGGGGAAATGTGCGTGCGTTGAAAAAATAGTAAAATAGCCAAAAGGATCTTAGGTAGACAAACGGAAAGACGGATAGACAGACAAAAGTACAGACAGATAAAATGACAGCATCTTGCTTAGCTAATGACTTAGCAAGTCGCAAACCTTTATCCTTTATTGACAGGTTTTTTGATAGGTAGCGTCATCTTTGGAATCATGTTACTTTTACGTAAACATCGTTTCTACTCCCCCCAACTGGGCCACCCTTCACCTCTAAGTTAGGTTAGGTTGACAGTTGACATGTTGGTAGGTTAGATGCCTTTTCCCAGGTTAGATGACACTTAGGTTAGATGACTTTTGGCTAAAATGGCGCTTAGGTTGGATGCCTTTTGATAAAATGGCGCTTCGGTTAGATTGATTTTTGACATCTGTCATTAGGTTAGCCAACTTCGTAGCTATGGCCGCGCATGCGCAGTTGAAAAGTGAGCTCAACGCTCCCATAAACTATTGATCTAATATTGGTCTAATTTTGGTCTAATTTTGGTCTTATATTGGTCTAATATTGGTCTAAATATTGGTCTTAATATCGGTCTAATATCGGTCTAAATTTCATCTAAAATTGGTTTAAAATTAAAGACTTTCATTCAAAAACTAACACATCGTTTAAAAATGCTCGAATTGAGTTAACTATGTTAATTAGTGGCTAATTGTATTTACTAGTACAAATGGTGATATCCTACAAAAGTAACACAGAAACAGTAATATTTAGAGCGTTTCTGCAAAATCAATTAGAACTGATATTGGGTTTTGTGTTTCCTGAAAAAAAAAAACTCATTTTGGGCATGTGTCGTTTTTGTAAAAAGGTCGATAAATTGGTCTAAAATTGTTTTTAAATTAGTCTAAATTAATATAAATTAGTTTATACTGAGTCTAGATTAGTCTAAAGTATTCTAAATTATTTTAAATTAGTCTGAATTAGTCTAAAATCAGTGTATAATTGGTTTAACATTGTTCAAATTAGTCAAATTGGAT